CCCCCCCTCCCCCCAGCTGAGCTCGTAAAAGGACCAGAGCCACTCATTAGTGGAAGAAGTATGACTTGCGGTAACAGGAGAAATAATGGCAGTTGTAATCAAGATAATGTTCCATTTCTTTGGGCTTTTGAAAGAGTGCGCGGGATTCAACACCTTTAGCTTGCAGGCCTTTTCAATCATATTTATCATCAAAGCTAGTTACATGGTTGGTCGAAAAGTACAATGTTTGATATGGAAAAATAAAGGCGATTTCGCAGACTGTACATTATAGGTCAACCGCTTGACCACACTTTGAAGGTCTTCAAAAGAGACACGAGATGTTTGAGATCAGCGTAGAGTTGTCATCCAATCAGTGCGGAATCTAAAAAATGCTGGTACTGCTGATCCATGTCGTAGCATAATAGTGAAGAAGTATAGCGAAATGGAGAACTTTTGAAGAGAAACCTCGTGACCAAACTAATCTTGGGAAAGCACCTGTTTTAGAATACACTTGATTTTTTTTAAATGAGCAATTCATGCTATAGGGTATTACCGTATCTCAATACAACATTGTGTTTGGAACTTTTGGGAGCAAAAATTGGCGGCAGTTCTTCTTTGGATTGCTGAGTATCAATGTGCACGGTGAGATACTCACAAAAGAACAGTTTTCATTGTCTATAAACTTATCCATCTGAGACTATCTACGCAAAGCATTGGTTAGTGGATAGCTTGGCATTCGATTAAAGATTAGAAACGTTTTTTATGAAATTTGTACCACAAAATTTTCGTCAAAACCCCATTTGTTGTCCAAAATGATCCAAGAGGAAATGAGTTCGGTTGAAAGGAAGCTCTAAAAAACCGATCTGACACATTACGACGAAGGTTTTTAGATGAGAAACAGTTTCAACAATTGCTGATTGGCTTTCTGGATAATTGCAGGTATTTGCAAGCTGGTGCTCGCCGAGGAATGATGCCAACGATGTTAGCACTCATCGAGCCTGATAATGACAGTCCACGAACAGCTGTTTTCCTCCATGTAAGTGCGTCACTTAAGGAACAGTCATTATCTGGCTTTGAGTGAGGGTGTTTGTCGTAGTACTTTTAGACTATTTTATCTATGGGATTTTGTCTCATTGGGAATGTTTACATACTGGTGAACTATTTGACCGTCGTCGCATTGCTAACGACCATGTTCTCTGTTGCTGCCCTTGTTTACATAAAATGGAAGGATATCCCAGTGAGTACAAATGCGGTAAAGGTGAGTCGGATCTTCCAAGATGAAAATGTGTATTTCAAAGCGCTTTTTGATAATATCAACAGCTCTAGTTCCACATCCTTTGGCCAATTCTCAACTTCATAATCAACGTTGCTTTATTGGTGATTCCCGTAATTGTTGAGCCCGTCAAGTCCGGCATTGGTCTTGCGCTGTTTCTGCTCGGAGTAGATACGTTATTATAAACATTTATTAAACTGTAGTGGAAACGAAATTACAAATAATTTTTTTAGTCTGCTATTTCCTTTTTGTACGACCAAAGAGGAGACCATCCTTCCTTAGGAAATTAGATTGTAAGTTTGTTCTTTACGTTTTTGTAAACTGAACTTCTCAACTCACTTTTCGATATATATATTTTTTTCTTAATTTATATTTATAATCTAATCTCGGTACAACAACTGTTGGCGAAATTCGAATGATTTCCGGCTTAGTATCTATGCAGAACAACTTGAAGTCTCAACTCTGCTTTTCTGCGGCGGCTCTCTAGCTCTTCAAGCCCTTCGTTGCTCAATCGCTCACTTCTTATAGCTGTATGTATACCCTTCTGACAGGGCCATTTTTTTCGCCAACTTTCGGAGTTACGCAATTGTCGTCATCTCATCTGCGGCGCAGTAATGAGGTTCCAATTCTAAAGCTTTTTGCTTGGAATCGGCTGATTTATATGTGTTTGGAAAGGCATAGAGTTTTTAGCTGTTTTTTTATTGTTATTCACTCTGATATAGATTTTTCAAGTAGTTTTGTTGTTACTCATTAATTCAGATTTGACTACATACGTGTGTCAGCAGATATTCTGGACAGTCGTTGATGTAGCACCTAATTACAAGAAAGAGGACAAGAAGCAACGTGCCGGCACAAACACAGTTAGCCCAGGAAAAATTTTGCTACAAGATGATGCTGTGAGAACAAGGCCTCGTACGAACTCAGCCAACTCGTCGAGAAAATTAAGAAACACATTACACGAATTGATAGTAGAAAGGCTATAGGATTTAACACACGCAATTAAGCAAATCCATTAGATATATAGGTTCATTTTGCTGTTCACAGATTCGAATGTGGTTGTATAAAATCTTGTTCCTTATCGTGATGCTACCCACGAGTAAGTATTCTTTATGAAAAAGTAGCTTACATACTTGGCTTCGCTTGATTGAATCTCTTGCCTACAACACAGTATTTTGGACACTTCGCTGTAATCTTGATCCTGATATCAAACCCTTTAATTGAAAACAGTTGAAGTAAACTATTACTTGACCAAGAAAATGATTAACATATAACGCTAAAGAAAAAACGCAGAAAGTTGCGAGCCTTTTTCATGGTTTATTCTCCTTTTCGCGAACTTAAATCTGTGATCCTGCATTTTTTTGTAACTATTTTCAAAAACAAATACATGAATAAATCAAGTAGCTTAGCAGGTAAAGCCCAAAGCATCCGTTCTTTTAAAATGAATTATGCCAATTTGAATCTTAACGGAAAGCCAAACCAAATGCTTACTTCACAATAGATTTTTATTCGCCAAATCCGGCTAATCGGCGTCAATTGTATAGTGGAAAGCGACTCCGAGCGCCCAATAATGAATACCGATTCTGAGCGGTTGCAACGCCTTAAACTCAATCAAAGGGGTTGTTTTTGGTTAGTGCTGCTGAATACCTAGATGACAATCAACAGTACTGTTCTACACGGCTTGGGAGCTGTTCTTCAGATATGATTAAGAATATTAATAAGAATACTATGCACACAATCTGTTTGCTCAAGCTCTAAATTTATCGTTTCACTCTGTCTGTCTACTGCTTGTCCATATTAGTAACCGCTTCGCTTCAACGCCTCCATCCAGAAACTACTATTCACATGCCGTAGTCAAGTGATATCTTGGCGACTGATAATGGTTTTTTCTCATTAAAACAATGAGTTAGTGCGAGTTCAACATAACAGAACTATGCAAACTATCATTACTTATAATAAAGCGCTAAGTTTTTCTGTACGTGTGTTTGCGTGTGTTTCTCTGTCTGTCACGAAATTAGTTCATTGATCCGAAGAAAGTCGAAGAGCAGTTATCAATCGCTATTTAACTGAAGAACACTGACTAAGTAAACATGAACAATTTTTGTTGTGAAAATGTGGTAAGTCGGTTGTTCATTTCGTATTTGGGAAGATGCAGCAGTGGGATCAAATGGCATCTGTGCTTATTACTTTGAGATGACAATAAAAGAGGAGAAATCGTAGATCGTAGAAAAAATCAAAAAAAAATTAATACAGGAACAGTGCGAACTTCTCTGTAGAAGAGGTGATGCACTGGTGAACTATAAAGTGCCTACGTCACTGCCTAGTTTTGATATACATATTGTAAGAGAAATATATTATAAATATTCTATTGTCGGAAAGGGATGTCTTGTGGTGTTATGCATATAAAATCATAACTAAGCTTCTTCGCATCAACTCAGAGA